GGCGGTGTGTACAAAGGGCAAGGACGTAGTCAACGCGAGCTGATGACTCACGCTTACTAGGAATTCCTCGTTGAAGACAAACAATTGCAATGATCTATCCCCATCACGATGAAATTTTCTAAAGATTACCCGGGCCTGTCGGCCAAGGCTATATACTCGTTGAATACATCAGTGTAGCGCGCGTGCGGCCCAGAACATCTAAGGGCATCACAGACCTGTTATTGCCTCAAACTTCCGTGGCCTAAACGGCCATATCCCTCTAAGAAGCTGGCCGCGCAGGTTGAACTCCGCATAGCTAGTTAGCAGGCTGAGGTCTCGTTCGTTAACGGAATTAACCAGACACATCGCTCCACCAACTAAGAACGGCCATGCACCACCACCCATAAAATCAAGAAAGAGCTCTCAGTCTGTCAATCCTTACTATGTCTAGACCTGGTAAGTTTCCCCGTGTTGAGTCAAATTAAGCCGCAGGCTCCACTCCTGGTGGTGCCCTTCCGTCAATTCCTTTAAGTTTCATCCTTGCGACCATACTCCCCCCCGGCTGATGATTGCGGCTAAGATCAAAATGTCATCCGCGTAGAGTAGGTGCGACACTCTTTCCCCATTAGTTTTTGTTCAACTGCTGAGGGAGGAGAGTGATAGAGTTTAGTTTCTTTTATTACCTGTATTGTAGTTTGCTTTTATTTCTAATGCATATGCAACTTTCAAGGCTGGTGATTGCGGCTGGACGACAAATTGAGCATTGGGATGCTGAACACATCGAGCTTCTTACGGCGGGTGCAGTCAAAGATTTTGTTGAGGATTGGATGTTCGACTGCGACCGAATTATTATGGAAGGGGATTGCTCCCAAGTCATCTCTTGGCTTCTAGGCCTATGCATCCATCTCAACCCCCTACACCGCCGGGAGGGAGGCCCAAATTTGTCCTTCCTCGGCTACTTCAAGCAGGTGATGTTCCAAAGGGTGCCGCAGCTCAGCAACCAACCTGCCGACTTCTGTGCACGACAATCCTTGGAGGGTGATTTTGTTTGGAAGGATTTAAATTGTAATAGTATTCCCCTAGCTTTCACCTCCTTGATTAGAGGTGAAAGTGATAGGGCTTAGTCCTTTTTCTTCTGTACTTTTCTGTTTTCATTAATGCAAATGCATCTTTCAAGGAACCCAAAAACTTTGGACCACTCTCCATTTCCTCCCTTTTCTTCTCTCTCTAGGTTTCTAGTGTGAGAAGCTCTGGTATGGGTCGGGGAGGTCGCCCTCGGGCACCTCCTCCCTCCGGTGGGAGTGCTAGCGGTTTTGCTTCTCGGACAGTGCTTGAGAGCTCACGCTCTCCTCCTTCTTCTCCCCGCCGTCAGTGGTCTCGTTGACGACGATCCCGTTCGCCTTCACGGTGTACTTTCTCCTCTCCATCGGCCGGCTGTTGCTTGGCTTGTGCTAGGAATGCTAGAGATGGCTCCTCCTTCCCCTCTAGGAAGAAGTCCCGCTCTAGATCCCGGTCTCCGTCTTCGTTGCGGAGGCCGCTCTTGCCTGCTGGACATGCTAACGAGCTTAGCTCCTCCTCGTGTTCGGCCTCGGACTCGCCTTCTCTTTCTGGTTCGTCGGCTTCTTCTGAGGAATCCTCTATGGCTAGTCCTCCCGGCCTCCCGTTGGCCCCGCCCCCTACTGAGGCTCCTTCTCCATCGCCCGCCTCGGTCTCCCCGCCTCTCCTAGCCCCGGTGGCTACGTGCCTCCCGACGGCGGTCCGCAGGTCTCCGGGCGCGGTCGTGCCTAATTCTACCGATTGTCCTGCTCTTCCTTTGTCAGGTCGACAAGATAGTTCACTGCCTCCGATAGTGATTGATGGAGTGTGTGGGGGTCCCACTTCGGATGGTGCCCATTTTCTTGGGTTGGGTGCGTCCGGGCCCCTGCATACTGGGCAGGCGCCTTCCCCTTCTGCGTGGCGTAAGACGTCTAATGTTTCTTTCTCCCCCCTCCCGCCCTGCTCCTATTTAGCAGCGGATGGTGTCACCATGGAGCCTGAAGGCTGCTCAGTTCAGCAGAATGTGGCACGATTGGAAAAAGCCTTAGTGGCTAAGCTTATGGGTTGGCTTCTTCCTGTGTCGGTCTTGGTGGCTGAACTCTCCCGGCGATGGTCTCCCTTTGGTGACATGGAGCTCGTCTCCACTGGCCCCAACTCTGTCCTCTGCCTGTTTCAGTCAGCGGAGGCGAGGGACGCGGTGTTGTCTAGCGGACCTTGGATCATTGCGGGGAACATCCTCGGTATGGACAAGTGGTCTTCTTCTTACTCCCCTGCGTCTCTTGATGGCCTCCGTTCTCCCATCTGGATCCTCCTTCCCAAACTTCCGCTGCTCTACTGGGATTATAACAATCTCAACAGACTAGCACACATGTTGGGTGAACCGTTGTGGATGGACGGACTTACCAGCCGGTGGGGCCGCTCATCCTTCGCCCGGATTTGCATCCGGATTGACCTCTCTCGCAACCTTCTCCCAGGAGTGTGGATCAACGGCTTACATGGCCATTTTTTTCAGAAGGTGGAGTATGAGGGCCTCTCCTCGGTCTGCACCTCTTGCGGGTCGCTCGCTCACCGAGCGAATGAATGCCCCAAACGTGCGGCGGTTAACCCGGCTAACTCTCCATCTCCGGCGCCGGTGTCAGCACCTTCTGTCCCTCTTTCGCCGCCTCCGGCTACTGTACGGCGGAGTGGGGGGCGCCCGGCCCGGTCGCGCCCCCTGCTGCTCCTTCCACCATGGTGGTGTCTCCGCTTCCTTCTGAGTAGTGGACCCTCGTCGCCCGTCGCCGGCGCCGCAAGGTGGCGCCCCATCCTCCCGCTGCCCTTGCCACCTCGCCTCCTGCGGCTCTTGGCAAGGGAAGCCCCCCATCCTCCAGGGCCA